GTGATTGCCTGCTACCTTTCGTTCACCCCCTCCTCTCTCAAGTATTCTTTTTCTTTGTCGGTTGCTTGAAACGCTTGCATCTGGATTTGATAGCTCTAGCAGTGAGTTCTTTTTCTTAAGGCCGGATTCGATACCTTTGTTTGATCCACACTCGCAGCTTGCATTCTCTCTCTCTCTCTCTGTGTCTGGCTCTCAAGCTTACCAGCAGTTTTCCAATCTCTCAAAGATTGCTATGCTTTACCGCCGGGCGGTGGCCAATGCAGACGAGCAAGAGGCCGATTGGGTTAGCAGGCTACTCACAAGTCTTCCAAAAAGTATAGGTGAGTGGTGAGTGGCAAGCAGCTACTAGTACCCAGAAGCTACCAGTAACAAAGGGCATCGCAAAGAAAACGGAGCGATCGGACGCTAGTCGCTACGAACGGGGCACTCCTGGCATTGCCACTAAGACTATGTAACAAGAGCCTAAGCCGCCTCGGCCGACCCTGGTTTCCTCGTCCGAGCCCTTGGACGACGGCACGCGACACGACTGGCGCGAGACACACGTATGGGTTGAAGCAGGACAAGGCTTTGGGGGAGAGTGTGGGTGACGCCTTGACCTCTGCTGCAGAGCGTTGGGAAAAGGAACCAAATGCAGGCAGTGCTGCTGTCAAGGAAATCGCAAGACCAGACGCGAAGAGGGCAAAGAACAGACGCCAAATCCATGGGTCTTTGTGACATGTTGTGACCACAAGGACTGGGAGACGCTGGAACCGTCTCCGGGACAAACTGCTTGTTCAGAACCGTCTCCGTCAGAACTCTCCGCCTCTGTCGCTCATTTTCCCATGAGTGCTGACACCTTCAACAAGTAGGCGCTTACACGGGTAGCCTCAAAAAACTCTTTCACGGCAAGATCGAGTCTCGTTTTCGGAACTTTTTCCTCCTACTTGAATCCTGATTCAAGCCTTCTAAATCACGTTTTCAGCCTGAGCCACAGTTCAATTATGCCCACCATCTAGTGGATTTTTGTTTTAGCATGCCTATATCATTGTGTGTGACCCAAGCTCTGTTTGGCTGCTCGCCTAGAATGCCGCGCGTTTGCTTTTGAGGAACAGTCAATTCTGACGATTCTATGTGCGAGAGTCCAACTGGATGATTTTTGTTTGCCTTGGATGTTCACACATGGTGATTCTGGCTCGTTTTTGTCTCGTGCATCCATTCCTTTCTACTATCTTCGCCAACTCTGGAATCTTGGATTTCGCAAGTACCAAACCCAAAGAATCTGTAGCAATCCACAACACCTTTGCTTTGATGAAACCCTTCTTTTGGAATCGCTGCCCTCTCTTCCCACCCACTGGGCGACCCGATTCTTCCGAGGTGCATTTCGCCGTCCGAGGCGTGGTCGATCGGTGAGTCACTCATCAATTGGATGCTCTTTTCTCGAAGGGCTGCTGGGCTATGCTGGGCTGAAAGATCTCATGCAATGAACACAGTGTTGGGCCACGCTGAGCTGAGAGTCTCAAGCGAAAAACTGCGAGGTTTTGGTTTGGTTCGCTTTGGTCAGGGGTTCATGACTCATGACATGTGTTCGGCTCACCCTTCGGTTGAGAATCTTTAGGAGCTCGGGGGCAGAGTCTGCACCGCCGTAGAGGCTACATGAGGTTATCACTTTCAGTGTACAAATCCAGGCACTTTTTCGGAGCGACCGGACGCTAAGAACGGGGCGCTCCTGGCCGAAGCTACGAACGGAACAAGAGGACTCTACCAACGGAGCAGGAGCAAAGGGCATCGCAAAGACAACGGAGCGATCGGACGCTACGATCGGATGGATTCGATGACCTTCGACGCCAGCACCGGTGCAGGCGCCGAAGTGAAGGCGGCCCGGTGGGAAAGCACAGGCGCAGCATCTTTTCGACGGGTGTCGGCGTGGGGCGAGGACCCGTGGTGCTTCCCAATCCTTGCTCTCCCCATATGTAGTGACCTCAGATCTCGGTGTAGGACCTCATTGCCATAGCATCCCATGTGCAAAGAGCTTTTTCCACTGACGGGAAGGCCTTTTTGCTCGGGTGGTTGGTATGTTGGTGGACGATGAACCTCGGGTAGTCCTGGGTCCCACTGGGACGTTGACTTTCGTGAAAGCCGATCCATTCCAGAAGAAATCACCGAAGGTCGCTTCAGCTACCTGAGTTCTCCTTGCGCAAAACATTTCTTGACATGTCTGACATGTCCGAATGACAGCTCAACCGTCCGGTACCGGAGTCGGACGTCCACCTCGTTGGCTGCGGTGGGGAACCGGCTCTGGGGCGGCAGACTTGGAGGGTTCTCCGCTAGGTGGCCGAACAGTGGCCTCTCTCTCGACCGAGGCTGGGAGCTATAGACTATAGAGCATATTTGAGCCATGTCCTTGGGCGAATGTGATCATGCAACAGGATCCATGATAGATAGAAAATGATGGAACCGCTTTCAGAGTATCTTTCAGAGGAATCAAAATACACATCACAAGAAATCTAAAAATATTTGTGGCAACTTTTGACCAAAATAACACAATCCTGTGGTTTGGGTCGGCCCCCGCGGTTCGTGCTGCAAGGAGAAGGAGGAGGGAGGCCAACCATGACTGTCTCCAAAGGGTTCCTATAACATCCTCTAACCAAAGATGTTCTCCATCGCCCATTGAAGATGTGGGTTCTAATTGCTCATGTAGCCCAGGCATGCCCAGGCACTGATTGAAGAAGGATCCATGGAAGAAGAGTCACTTAAAGAGCGTCTTTGTTTTCGGGCAGAGCTCCAGAGTGTCGCTGTTCAGAGCTCCAGATCAAAAGACTCTCTTTCAGATTCTTTCAGAATCAAGTCGATCAAGTCTCAAACTCACGGACTCCAAGATCCAGGTCGCCTCTTTTTCTTCCCTCGTGCAGCTCTTGAGGGTGTCACCCCCTACCGATACAGAGGTTTTCGATCCGCAAAAGCATCGGTTGCGTCTCGGCATCGCTGAGAGGTCTCTGCCGCTGGATCAGCTCAGTGGCTTGGAGAAGGAGAAGAGTTGCAAATATGGGTCTCACCAGGTTTGGGGTGAGAGAATTATAGGAGACCAGGTTCAAAGGATGATTGACATGTTGGACGACTTGAAGACTTCGAGCCAAAGCAGATAATTTGATGAAGAGACCACTTGATATACTGTATCTTGATCCATATATTGAGTTTTGAGAATGCCCTTGAAATACGTTTGACATTCTACACAGCTGGGGTGGCTCGAAGATATCTGGGGTGGTTCTTGGCCTATTGATGGTTGAGAATGGCGACCGCTGTAGAGCCTTAAGCCAACCCAGACATCAAAGACCCATGGAGTTGGCTTCTGATGTTGGAATGTTGGGCACAATGTTTTACCCCGAACCAAGAAGTTTCTTAAATTAAGATCTGATTCCTGCCCTTAGAAAAAACAACCATGTCTCTTTCCTTCCCTTCCTCCGCCCCGGCGCCGCTCGCCGGTCGCAGCCTGCTGCGCGTGCCGCGCGGCTCAGGCTGGCCATGGCGCCCAGCGCCGGAAGCCTGGTGAGCAACAGCGATCCACAGGTCGGGGCCGTTGAGGTTCGTGGTGTTTTTGGCCCATCGAAGCTGCTGGAAGAACTAGGGTTTCTTTTGGGCAGAAAGCATCGACACGCGAGGAAAGACTCCTGTCAGGAAGCCAGACACCACTATAAATTGAGATTAACAAAGATCGAAATACATAAATCGGAATCATTATGGAAAGCCAATATTAATATAGCCGATCAGGCCACGCTGGTGATCTCTTGCTCTATCACTTCACTCACTCCACAGGTGGGTGCCTTGCGTTCCGAGATCGAAGGCGCGGGTGTTGAGTGCTGCGGCGCTGCGTCAAAACATGGTATCAGTTTCGCCATAAAGGATGCCATGAGAGAAAGAAGAACACAACAAATCAAAAAAAACATCCATCAAATCCACCAACAGCATATAATATATAATATATATATAATATATATTCAGACTCCAAGATTGGCTGGGAACACCCGCAGAACTCTGCGGTCAATTGAGGCGAACCTCCTGGGTTCAACATGGATTGCCCAACCGTTGGAATGAGCTCCCTCCGGTGAGCTTGCTAGTATTTGCTAGTGGTCAATCCTCATCGTTCAGAAGCCCCTTGCTGGGCGGGATATGTATCTTGAAGGATATCTCGGGCCCCCTTTCGTCCTGAGGCATTTGGTCGTTATGAATCAATGAAAGGTGAACCTGGCTTTGTATGGTAGACGCACCCACGGCATTTACCATGAATATCCATGAATGATTTTCTCAGCACATGAACCTGTAGCCCAACGTTGTTTCATGAGGCTTGCGGGCTGAGCTGGATGCCTTGAAAACACTGCTGGATGAAGGAGCGAGAGAAGTGGTGAAGATGTGTCGTTGGATGTGAGATTGATGGGAGATTTGGGTGTACTTCCCAATACGCAGAGGGAAGTGGTCAATTTCTTTTGGACGCTTCCATTTGCTCTTCGTTCTTGTTCCACTTTTGGTTAGAAAGGACGCCTTCAATGAAGTTCTGTTGGAGCTCTTCATTTGAGTCAACCCCTCCAGGCTCATTGCTTGTGGCTCATTGCGGTTCAGTTGACAACAAAGTTGTCGAACTGAGCCTTTGGGTGGACGTCAACCACCTCTCCACTGAAAGCGCCTTCAATAAGAAAGGTGTGCGAGTGATGTTTGGGGCGCCAACACCATCTTGACCAAGCATCTCCACCCTGACCCTGCTTTGTCCAACTAGACATGTTTCACATGTCAAACATCAGACAGGTGCACTTTCCCAACTTGACCAGAAACACACCAACAATCTGCCAGCTTCTTCTGGGCGGGCTCCCAATGTGTGTGGGCGCACCCTTTTGACCCCACCCACCCCACCTATATATCCCACCTATCCCACCCATCCCACCCATGCAGTCTACACACACCACTCCCTGCACCTTCTGCCCCTTGTGGGGTGGGGTATTGAACCGCCTCGCGGTTTGCGTGGTTTCCCCGCCATGGCGCGGATCGCGCGGCGGTCGCTGCGGATCAAAGGGCTGCCGCTCTTCAGCCGCTTGTTTTCGAAGCGTCGACGGTGGAAGCGCATGAAAGCGCACCGCCGTGTCCAGGAGGGTGAGAAGTCGACCAGCGAGCCAAGTCGGACCGGAAACAGCTAGTTAATTAGTTGTGACCGGTGGATGATCCAAGACAGACTTTGACGCTGGTGAAAGGTAGGTTCTCTTGGGGTTTTCCCCAGCATTGGCCTCGACCCAGTGATGACTTGTACTTGAACCCCCCCAGAAAAGCCAGGGCCTTCGAAGGGCCGCGAAGTTGGATCCGTGGGCACCTTTGAGGCCTTGGTCATCCGTGGTCCTCGGTGGTGCCACTGAGCCCCAGAACGCGTCTTGCGGACCGCGCGTCTTGCGCGCGTTCCGCGGAACGTGCGCGCCAGTGCAGAGCTCGCTTGCGGTTTGGGGGGGTGGATGAAGGTGACCACTGGGGAGTGGTCGGTTGGTCGGTTTTCTGCACAGGGACTCCTTGAAGGTGTGGTGAAGTTGCTGAGTTGGATGGAGGGGCCCCCAAGACCACGAAGCTTTCTTTTTCACACGAATGATAATGTAAGCCTACATCAGGTAAGAGGAGGAAAGGGCACACCACGCAGTGTGGCTGCGCTTCCCCTGAATCTTAGCTTCCTCCTGTTTTGGCTCTCTTTGAGCTCGCATCCTCCTATGGCCCCCCGTGCGAGTCTTCTCTTCTGCGGCAATACCAGTTTTTTGTTTTTTTTTGCGGCAAAACACGAAGTCAGTGCCTTCAGGGTCGTGATATTCAGATCATTGCTGTTGCTTCTGCGGACATTCGGTACCGCGCAGACGCTGACTGAGGAATGCCGAGGGGAAGCTGGCCCTGAGCCTCTTTGAACCTCGCTTCGTGGTGGGGGAACCTGGTCAGTTCTGTGCGCTGACCACACTCTTGGTAGGGACGGATCGTGAACAAAGGGAAACAGATGGCAACCCCGGTGATCAGCTCTTTCGTGGGGTTCTGATTTGAATGGAGTTTCTAATAATAATAGCTTCTTGTTGCTACTAGTAAGGCCAGGAGCCCCTAGTAGCTTCTTGTTTATACTAGTAAGGCACTTGTTACTAGAAGCGATGCACTTGTTTCTAATAGCTTCTTGTTACTAGTAGTAAGGCACTTGTTACTAGTAGCGATGCACTTGTTACTAGTAGCTTCTTGTTCCTAGTAAGTGATTTGAATGGACTTGATGTTGGTTTGGACCATTTAGACGTGAGTTTTTGGTGCCAAAGAATCACTCGTCTTTTGGTCGAGCGCTGCAGGCGTGAGTTTCTTCGGCCAACCTCCAGTGGTCGAAAAGGGAAGCCGTTCCGAAGAAAACCGCCTAGGAGGTGGCAAGCAAGTTGCTGCCCCCTCGTGGGGATGCCAGATTTGGATATGCTGAGACTTTCGGCAGCAGGGGCGGGGCATTGAAGATGGAAGTGGTTTCTGGGGTTTCGAACAAGGAAAGGTCTCATAGGGGTGTGTTGGAAAAGGATCCTGGAGATTGCATCCGTCATGAAATTCTTGGGTCTGGTAGGTCTTGCTTTATCTTTGCATCTTAACGCAAACGTGGCACAATAGCCCGAATGGCCAAGAACGCGTGAATGCCGCAAAACGCTCCAAACAAGCACAACGACATCCCAACAAACACAAAAGGCAGCAAAAGGCCAACACGCTGCAGATCCAGGACTTCTAATGTCCACCTCTGATTTATCAGTAGGCCCCCCCCCCAAGAAAGACCTCAAATAGATAATATAAAGACTGTTTTCAACTGTTTAGTATTTGTAGAGATTTTTCCTTTAGTATAGTGGTGATGGGTTGCTGTGCTTGCTGTGCTGTGCTTCTTGCTTTCTTTCAAGGCAGGATTTTTTTCAGGACATTTTTTAAAGGCTGGATTTGGGACATTTTTTAAAGGCTGAATTTGGGATACCTAGGGCCAGGGGTGAAAACATTTAGCTTTATTTGGGGGGAATTTATTAATCTGTTCTGGGATTTGCTTAGCTTTATTCAAGGGATATTTATAAATCTGAAGTCGACATTATGTTAAAGACATCTCCAGGGTGATGTCAAGAAAAGGGTTCAATTATGTTCAATCCCTTCCTACGGCTCGCTTCGTAGAGCCGCGCACCCGATCCCTGGTGTCAGCGAGGTCCTATCCCCCCCGGGAACGGACCTCCGGCGTGTTGGCCAACATCGAGGACTCATTTGGCCGGTTGGGGGGTCCCAACTGACCGAATTTGAGCAGCAAAATAGCATGGAACAAGAACCGCTAATTAGTAGCAAAGGGCAAGAACGCTACAAACGTAGCTCCCGGCCGTACTACTAGCAACAAGAATGCTACCTAGCTTGATGACTTGACGAATGACTAGTGGAGCATCCTTCTTTTTTCGGAGTCTTCCACTCCGGCCGTTGACCCCCGGTCGAAGGGAGGGGACACGACTTCGTCTCCCGTTTCGTGTCCCGGTCGTCTCCGTTTCTCGACCGGTCGGCGAAGCGAGCGAAACGACTCGGCAGGACCATCGTTGGGTCGATGAGGGACACGAAGAGTTCGTGCAAGGCTATGGCAGCGGATCGCAGGCCGGGCCGTGGTCGTGGTGTCCGTGCCACCGGGATGAAAACGGTGACCGGTTAGGTTGGCCGAGGGAGGTAGGTGAGCTAGGCTGGTAGCTAGTAGCTAGGGACTCGCTAGTAGCTAACAAGTAAGCTTCTAGGTACAGGATGCTCCTACATATGGACGCAGGATAGCGCTCGCACTAATGATTTGGTTGCTAGATTTTTAGGGAAACTTATATATTGAATGTTGTTCACTTTGATCGCAAGCATTGCGCAGCCTTCCCTCCTTCGAAACAAGATTGGGAGGTTGTGAAGTCCATCATTTTTCGATATTCCTGTGTCCTCCATCATCACTTCTGCCAGGGTTACTAGTGATTGCCTGCTACCTTTCGTTCACCCCTCCTCTCAAGCTTTTCGATATTCAGATGCCTATGGGTCAAAGCCCGGAGACCTCAGTTTGACCACCGAACATGAAGATGCCACCGACCTGAGCGGAAGACCAGGTGCAGCTCTTGGCGAATGCCCAGCACCGTTTCCGAATCCTGAAAGCGCGTGGGGACGCCCTGAGCATGGGAAGTGGAGTGATGAGGGAAGGACGACTGCGGATTGACTCCGTTGCAGTTCTGTAGAATCAATCCACAGGATTGATAGATAAGTTACAAGATGTTACAAGTGAAGTTCCAAGTCTGATAAGATAATAGAAGATGTTACACAAGTCTCAGATGGGTCAAAACATGGAGCTCAAAAGGACCCTGGTAGGTTGACCTGGCTGCTGTCAACCAAGGTCGGTTTTGTTTCACAGCCAGGTAGGTAGGGAGATAGTCAGATAGTGCAGATAGTGCAGATATGACGCTTAGTTGTGGGATCCTGTGGGCATCCACTGCAGGGTCACACAGGATCCAGGATGGGTCAAAAAGGGATCAATTTGGGCCACTTTGAGTGATCTTATAGCTGTCCACTGGCCTTTGTTAAGGATATTCACCACACACCACACTATGGTCCTTCAATCATCATCCTTTTGATTGGCACTGAGGCAAAGAGCAGCAGGAGGGCGTTGACTTGTACTATGCAAATGTGCAGTTGATGACCGAGAGAGATTTGCAGAGGTGAGGGAGTTTTCTTTTATTCTTTTTCTTTTAGTCCCGCTCCCCCCCTCCCTACTTAATTAAGTAAGGGACTAGTAAGCTAGTAGCTACTAGTACGCTACTAGCATGGACGCAGGATAGCGCTCGCACTAATTTGGTTACGATATTTTTAGGGAAACTTAACCTTGTATGTATGGGAGAGTTGTGGACATACATCCCAGACCTAGCTTGATGATGCATCTTGAGACTGGGGGCGTTGTCCCCTCGTCTACCACGTTGGTCGCTGCAGGGGTCTGGGCCTGGAGGCGGGATCCTGAGAACGTGCTCAGCGAAGGCAGAGGAGAAGGTCCTACAACTCTGGGAAATGGTAATGACACTTGGGAACATGGTGCGGTGTTTGGTGGTTTGTTGGTGGTAGGGTCTATCTTGGGACTCTGCTTGTCCCAACTAACTTGAGTCAACCAAAGTGACCTAAGTCCATTTGCTTCAACTGATCTTGGAAATCCCAAAGACGTTGCTCTGCAAAGTGGGCGCCCAAGCGACCCTGTTGCGCTAACACCCCGGTTCCGTGAAATGTCCAGCGGGGGGCTCCGCTGAGGCCGTGGCGTATTGGCAGGAGGAGTCCTCTCAAGGCGAGACTCATCGGAGTCTGGGGAAGAGAGATGGGAATGGGCCAAGACCTGGAGCCCGACCAGTCCAGCAAGTAGCCAACGACCTCCCAGGTAGCAGGTAGGTCAAGCAGAAGGACCCTGGGGAGTGCGTTCAGACAGTCGCAAGTATGGCCGGTAGGTCAAGCAAGGTATCCTGCTGCCATGACCCACAGCCATATCCATTGTTCATTTGCTACCAAGCTCGGATGTCACAACAAACATTGCATCCCTTTGTCCACAGCTTGGGGCACATTCCACTTTCAATTTCAGACCACTCAAGCTCACATGTACTCAAGCTCACATGTGATCTTATGAGAAGATGGTTACAATTCACATCGATTCACTCGCAGAAACTCACTTCAGGACTTCCACACGCCCTTCTTGCATTGGTGAAGGTACCTCCTTTCAACATCTCCCACTTGCCAGGCAGCGATTCTCGAGCGCTGAGTGCGCGGAAGCCAAGATGCAAAGAGTAACACCAGCCCCATCCCAAGTGACCATCTCAGGAGTCAGAACTGACTTTGCAAAGACTTGCAACAAAAAAAGGACGCTCCTCCAGGATCACCTGATTCGCCTGCGAACTTGATCCGCACGAAAAGCCCAAGATCTCGAAGAAAGCCGCTGCCCTCCGTCGCTGTGACAACTCGAGGTGAAGGCGGGCACCCACCTGGTGGCCATCGTCACAGCGGCGGTCTTTGAGACTGCAGAGAGTTGGCGGGTCATCGGCCAGGCAGATGCCTGGACCCAGGGGGTCAGAGGGTGGGGAGACCCACATGATGGCCGGCGCTTCGCAGTTTGTTTCGGGAGAAGATAGGGAAGATGGGGAGAGAAGAAAGGACACAACTAAAGGGTGTACATGAAGACGATGCAAGGCCCGCAATCCACCGCACCACCAGCACTAGGCTGTAGCAGCACCTTGTGCAGTGGATGCAGGGATTTCATGCCGATGGAAATCCCTGTTGGAGTCTGTTTGTTGGTGGTGCATGCGTGATGATCTCCTCCACTCATCCCACCGCACCAGCCGTTCAAGACCTGGGTTCCTTACGTAAGCCTGCTTCAAGAGGATCCTTTTTTTCCTGGGCGGATCACCGTTATCAGTACTATATAACATGTACTAACCGTTACCAACCTTACCTTCGAATCCTGGCATCTCCTCCAAAAAGGATAGAAAAGGTGGGAAGAATGGACACCGAACGTCACCTGAAATGGATTGACATGGAGGGCCCAAAGGGACTTGAGAAGATTCATGCCTGGATGTTTTCTCCAGACATGACCCCCCGTAGGTTTGGGTACCTTGCCAACAGCAGACTGCTCTATCGCCAGGTCCCTGAGGGCATCCGTGTGATTGCCATGGACGTGCCGCGTGTGGTCGAGGGTGCGGGTGGCCCCCATTTCCCCCGCGCGGGCGGGCGTCGCGAGCGGGTGTCGCGTTGCTATTCCACGCCACGTGTGCTTGGTAAGGGGCTGTGCGCTGTGTCGCTATTCCTGTTGAGTGGAGCACAGCTCTGTCAGACGTCGGTGCTGGAGATGGAACTGCAAGAACTTGAGGAGAGCAAGATTGAACAACTTCAGCAGACACGTTTGCGGTTTGTAGAGAAGATGGAAGAACTGAACTCCGTTTGTGACTTGTGAAACATGCGGCAAGGACTCGCATCAAAAACCACGGGGAAACCACATCGCATCCTGCCCTACCTCCCAGCATGCAGGTTCTCCCAGCAGGCAGCTTCTCCCCCCTTCTCCAGCATGATCCCAGCCCTGCAGAGGCTACCTCATGGTGCCGATCATTCCTTCGGGTGCGGTGGAACTGACGCTTTTCCGCGAAGCGGCGCAGCCTGGCAGCGGGGAGGTGCCAGAGGTGCAGCTACCCGATGAGACGGTGCTCAAGGTGAGGGAAGGGAAACGGAATGTGTAGGGTGGGAATGTGGGGGAGGATGTGTGTAGGGTGGGGTTGGTTAAGGACCTAAGGATTGGGTTAAATTGACATTTGTAGAAAGGGTGGGGGCACAACACTGCTGGTGTTGAATCAGGCAACACCGATAGGTTCGTCTCAAAGAGCGAATGGCAACAGCTGGACCTGGGACAGCGGGGTTGACACGCTGGACAGCTAGGTGCTATCCGAACCAGTTTCAAGCGTTGCGGAGCGCACCTTCGAATTTCTAAGACCATGCGAATTGTCGTGGGTGAGGCCGAAAGATGCAAGATCCTGCAGGATCAGCGGGACATGTTCCCAAAAGATTCACCAGGTGAAGTGTGCCAGTGTTGATGCCCGCAATGCCCCGATGTTCCCTGTAGAAGAGTAGAAGATTGGAGGGGATGATGTTCCAGGTTCCTAAAACTCTAAAGGAGGTTTTACTGTAAATAGATTGGAATGGATAGGCTGAGTTAGATGGGGATTTGTTTGTGCCTACTCTGAAAATGCTACAACTTACCCCGGAACGGGTGCAGTTGCATCTTCCATCCACGCTGCGATGGCATCAGGCTGCCCTTGATGGCATCCATGGCAGGTGCGCGGGTCTTCACACTCGCAAGACAGTGAGACCGCAGAGAACATGAGTTGCAGACTCTAGACCTTTTTCTTGGATAAGGTGATGAACGAATCACAAGGATGTGGCCTCGAAATAGCGCCTCTCCCTAGCATTCCTTCCACAAGGATAGGTCAACACAGATGTTCTGGACAGCGACAATTGGCTGGAACATGATGGAACTCATTGTTGGGGCTCCCTCAGTTTCAGACATGGGGATATGGATACCCATGGATAGCCATGGGGCCATTATATTTGAGGGCATTGACACGTGATAGGCTTGAGTGAGGGTTTAACACGAACTCCTCAAGCTTGCTTGCTGGAGTACACATTTGTTATCGTTATCATATTATGTATCCATGTCTGACTTCGTATTTCAGGAATCCAGTCTTGTTGTATTTTTCACATAAAAAACAAACACGTGTCAATCTCAGGACGTTGTTCCTATAGTTCCGTTGACGGAATCCTTCCCCACAACCACGCTCCGGGCCAAGCGCGCGCAAGCGCGCCAGTCCAAGCCTCCAGGACACTGCCTGCTTGGCGGCGCTTGCAGCGCCGAAAGGTGGGGACCGATGTCGAAGGATAAATCATTGAATGCTTCTGAGTGATTGGACGAATTTGCGATGGCCTCCAACCTATCAGCATTGGCCTCCAACCTAGTAGCGATGGCCTCCCATTGGAGTCTGAACATTGGGCTGGGGAAATAGTGCTTCAAGACAGATATTGATGCATCCAACACATGTTACGTTCACGAGTTGCACCCTTCCAAGAAAAAATAAAATTCTTTATTGTTCTTCATCACTTGAGATAAGGAGGAAGTTTACGTTTTTCTCGTCCTTTCCGTGGCACGAACGACGTGAGATAGGTGGGTCCCCTTGGTCGGCCCACGTCGGCCCAGGCACCGTCGCCCGCCCCGTCGCGGCACGCGCGAGCGGAAAAAAAGCGGCGACCAGTCGGGGCGCGTGTTCGCGCCGGGTGGGGTGAGCAGCGATGTGCTGCCCTGGTGGATTGGTGGTTGAGAAGATCTAGATCACACGGGGATCAAACATCGCATCTACTGTATCTGTATCTACTGCATTTCTGTTTTCTTGAGATGATTAAATGGCCATGTGGCATCATGCTTTGGAAGTCGTTTCTTGGACTCCGAAGCTCAGCACCTTTCTCGGATTTCCTGTGCCAAAAGGTGCAGCGCTGTTACCACATACTTGACGGGTCAGGAGTGCAGCAGCGGGAGGAGACCGAGCGAAATCAGAGCGCTCTGATCACCCGAGTGGAGTCGGGCTGCCTCAGTCGCTCCGCGTCGCTCGATGCGCGATCGGTGGAGCAGCCATCGATGGTCTGGATGGGTCTGGGGGTTTTGGAGCTTTTTTTTTTTTTCGGGATCGTCGAAGAGAGCAGGGCCGGCTTCTCAGCCTCTTGCAGTTCCATTGATCACCTCCAAGCTGTACTTTGACCCCATCAACCTTACCTGGTACGGGGTAATCAGGGCCTTTCGGGGGACAGCATTCCTTTCGAGCGATTGGATGCGACAACTGATTTCGGTCCTCTGTTGGCTGCATGGCATGGCAAGCATGTCCAAGGCAGCTGTCAAGCTACAAGCTTCATGCGGAGCAGCAAATGAGGGAGGCCATTTGGGGGTTGATGTGGATGTGGGAGGGGGTTGACACAGAGGGTGATGAATATCACTCAACTACATAATCTGAACTGAATATCCATGAATCGCACCGTGGCAAGAGTATTTGCCAAGCCCATAGAAACATCAAGCTCCTTTGACTCCGTCAGAGCGCTCGAGCTGCTGATCTTTTGTTCGTGAACATCCAAAGTACAGCCGTAGAAAGGACAGTCCCTCCCTTCATGTGCGCCGTGATTTTGTGACCCACCTGTTTGCTTTTTAAGCCACTCGAGGCGCACGCCGAGACACAGTGGCCTCTTGGATGGTACAGCGGCGTGATGCGGTGTGTCCGGTGAGGGGTTGTGTTCGACCGCACTCGGTGAACTCGGATGACATGAAAGGGTTCTTATAGGGGATACAGACAGAAAAGTCTTGGGGAGTATACCATAGTATACCCACTCCAGGATGGAGTTTTGGCAGCTGGTATACACCCCACTGAAGGTCATTAACTACTAGTGGAGTGTGGTTTGGGCTGGGCACGGATGGGGTGGGGCACCCCAATCATCGGTCCTTGCTTCTTCCCAGGCTCCGAAAGGAGCTGGCCAGGCGCCAGCGGCAGGCCTGGCGCAAGTCGCCAAGGTGTTTTGAATGACACAACCAGAGGATGAAGGGATGAGACCCTTGGATAGGTAGGCGTTTCCTGAGATAATTTTCCAACATGAGCTATAGCAAGTCTTTTGAAGGTTTCTCTACGGATATTTGGAGGCGACAACTCCTTCTCTCTTCTTTTCACGGCTTTTTAGCGGAATATCCGAATCACACTCTTTGGAAGGTTGGCAGGTTAGAAAGGCTTAGAAAGAAAGTCATGAAGGCAAGTTTGAGGACTAGGGATTTCAGGTGCATGGAACAACCAACATGGACTGCACCAGCTCCCAAAACGGAACTTCCTTACCAGACACAAAGGAGTATCATGAAGGATCATGAGGGATCCCATGAGCTCCATGGCTTCGGCTCAGCCCGTCTGGCCAGTCGGCTGAGCCAGAATTGGGCGAGCTGGATCGGTGGGGGAGGCCAAGGAAAAGAGTGATAGAGTCGGATGAAGATCAGGAGGAGAAGGGACATCATGATTTTGGGAGCAAGATGCCAGATGATTGAGGAATTGTCGCGATTCAAAGACTTTGGAAGGAAGGAAAGAAGGGGATACGTTTGCTACTCCTTGATACTTTGATCACCAGTTGTTGCCCATGCCAAGGCCCTTGGCGTCTCCGACCACTGCCAAGCACACTGGATGCGTCAGACAGTGCTGCGTCGAGATTGGAGACTGTAATTCGATGATTCGAACCAATGTGGCCAGACAAAGATGAACTTAGATTGGTTCATGAATTTGTTCGAATTGTTCATGAATTCTGTCCATCTTTGTAATTCATGAACAAAGATGAACAAGTGGCCAGACATGCACAGAATTTGAAGGGGAACCTCCCCAGATTTGAACTCTGTGCCACGTGGTTTGACTTTCCACGTTCAGGCTTCAGGATCAAGTCTTTTCTTGGGGAAATTGGGGGCCAATGTCCTGCTAACATGCGGTCACGTGCTAATGCCATCCCAGTTATAGCCAAAAGTGTGTGCAATGATGGGATTTGTGGGTGAGTTGGTCGTCACACTTGCTATCTGAGGTTTTGCTAAAAGAGGTTCTCCACCCGAAAATCGAGAGGATGAGACTCTTCCTGACTTTTTGGGCGCCTGTCGACCAATGGACCTCCCTTCGTAGCCCATAGACCGGACTGAGGCACGGAACACGGAACCGCGGCACGGCCGACGAACGCAGCGGAACGCGCTGTCCAAGGCCGGCGATGCGACCCTCATCATCCTGGTCTCCCCCCAAGCAGCGGGGCATCCCAGGGAGCAGCGAGCATCCCATTCGACGGGCCGATGGAGGTGTTCAATGATGCCGGATCACACTTTTGCTGTGCAGGATGTTGCCTGTATGTAACAATGTAGTGATCGTCATACCCAAAAAATACTGGCTGGCATCAGATAATGCAAGGATCACAACATACCCCCGGAGTCTCACACAGCACTGAGCCCACTGTCCAGGCAGAGTGCCCCACCGAGCCCACCCAGAAAAAGTGCTTGCCTCAGCATGGAGTAGTACTGAGTAGTGGCGCAAGATGGCGTTGACGAGTTGATTTTTGTGTTTTACGGATGCTTATAGCCACTATAAATGGCCCTTTACTATTGGTTGGTTGATTAATAGAGGGGATACCCCCGGTCGTGTAGAACCAAGTCTGGTCAATTGTTCCTAGCACCGACCTATTATTCCAAAGTACGGACGTTGCTTTTAGCTACACCAGTGTACAAGACTCCCCGATCCACCACGAACGACCAGATCGGAAGGTCCAGATACGTCAGCAAATTGGTACTTAGCGAGGAAGCGCCCTGGGCCATACTGTGGTCTGAAAGATCTTAGGATTGGAACAAATCTGGTTTGGACAAGAAGCACTGGTGGGTCTGAGAATGTTAGAACGATCCATTCCAAGCTAACTGAGTTAGTCTGTCTTTGCGTTGGAGGCTTCCAATTCTTTTAGTGGACATTGACATTGCCTTTCCATCGTGCCAGAATCCAATCACCCACTTAGACCATCACATCCTGCTAGCAGAGATGGATAGATATGGACATGATATGTAACAAGAAGCTACGTTCGGGGCTCCTGGCCTTACTACGAACGGAGCGATCGGACGCTATGAACGGGGTCCTGGCATCGCGACTCGAACGGAGCCACGCACGACGGGACCGTGGGCGGTTCGGATCGCGGGACAACGAGAGCCAGGTCCTCGGGGCCATGGCGTGGGACCTCGGCGCTCGTGCTTCAGTGGTTGCGCTGAAAACTGGGGTGATAGCACTGGTGGAAGTGGTGGGACGGGGTCAGGCTTTTAACATCCTGGAGTCACGTCTCGAACGGCTATTCGTGGTGTCTTTCCAATTGGCTCACCTTTTTAGTGGGTCTTCTTTGAGGTCCTGTAGATAGCACCATTACTGGTGCGGAGCCCGCTCGTTTTTGAGATACGTACACACTGAGTCTGACTCATCACCTCTTTCACAGATGAGAGGCAGGCTTTTTGAGACATACCCGCAACCAAAATGGACAGCCGTGGCCCAAGAACCAAAAATTAAAGCATTGCAAAGACATTTCCAAAGGGTCTACTCAAGTATAGTATAGTTGTTTGTTTCGTGCAACTGGGCTCTCTTTTGCAGGGTTCCAGCCATCGACCACCGCCCCTCTGAGGTGAGGCCCGATCGTACCTGCCGCCGACGACGTCGATGTCCCGTGCCACTGGCAACGGTTTTTGCTCGTCACTGCTGGGGTCAAGCGCGCAAGAGAAGCGCGCAAGATGCAGAAAGAAGGACGCAGCAAGCTCAGTGCCCGTAGTCTTCCCCCGTTTTCTCAACTAAAACACTCACCTTTTGGATAGCTTTGGATGAGGATGAGGCCTCCTGGCCTAGTGGGGCTGTCTGAGTTTTCGGGGGATACACCGATGAGAAAAGGACATGGACCGAAGTGAGTCCAAGCAGATGAACATGGGCAGTGAAGAACGAGTCCAACGAGTCCGAGCACATCGACTGATGTGACGGTTGAAAGCATCGTTTCGGACCAACACCTTTGCTGAGCATGGTTCCCTGGTTGGGCAACTCATCCTTGAAGCAGGTTCAGCATACATCACCAGGACCTGAAGTATCAACCCTCACACAACTCGGAGATTTCGGGAAAATACCATAAAAATACCAGAGCGCACGTCCTTTATGACAGGAAGCAGCAGCTTCAAGCAGTCGGGATCCCAGCTGCAAAGCTTCTGATCCATTTCACTCCGCCGTTTTCAGCGGTGGTTTGCAGGTCTTGGTTGAGGCACGCTCACATTCTAATTAATAAGGGCTTGCGTGTGTTTGGACTGGCATACGGAGGGCGATGAACATCGGTTCACATTGTGGATGGTTCGGCTGGTCGGCTTCTTCTTCCAAAGGCTCGTTAGGTGGTTCTATTTAGTAGATGGCTGGTTTGCACCTCCCAAATGAAGTTCCACCCTGAGCTGCCTGGCAATGCAGGGCTTGTTGTAACTATCAACGTGTGGTGACACAAACAATTGTGAACCATTTACTCCAACTCTGGCAGAAAGATCCTCACCAAAAGAGCTGGAACCTTTCAACGGAACCTTTTTCAGTTGAAGATCGAAGGCCCACCGAGACCAGGCGACCCGTGCCGAGACCGTGCCGATGCTTCCTCCCGTCTCTCAGGCCAGAGCCACCGTCCAACGGCACAGACGAAGTGGATGAGATGTGGCGATGCTTGTTCCGTGGCGAAGAGGATGCTCTGAAGTTCTTGGTGCGTAGGAAAAAAACACATGTCCATGCCAAGGGAGAACTTTTTTCGTTGGAAATTGGAGTGTTCGTCATCAAGCCCTACTGCAGCGAAGCTTCCGTGGGTCTAGTGAGCTCAATGAGCACTCCGCACATGGGGCGAACTTTGTTGCATGCTTCTCTGCCAGCGGGTCGGTAGCTACAAACTCGACCGCTCCAAAGTGTCACAGCCTCGATCGCTCCAACGCTGAGGCTTCAACGTTTCCCTCAGTATCCTCACTGGTGCCTGGTGAAGGCGCTAATCGCCCTTTGATGCGACTGTGGAGGATGTAGGTACCCTAGAAACGCATGAGGATTAGGCTGGTGAACACCTCGAGGGAGATGAACACGAGTGCGCGGATTGCACCGTCTAGCCATTTGGATGACCCCTAATCAGTGCGGCACACTGGTCCAAAAAACCCGGAACCGGTAGGTCGACCTGGGAGGTCTCCCTGTTTTAAGACACATCTATGTGGGTACTATAAGTATACTACTATAAGTATATATAGGACACCCTGTTTCTATATGTACTCGTACTATATCGGTGGGCTCGCTGGAGATCGTTGGCGATGCGGAGGGACATCGACGACGGCTCCGATTCTCTCCAGTGAACTGGGCACCGGAGAGATGGTCACAGAATCTCATCCAAGGTGAATACGTGCTATATCCGAGTGGTTTGTAGGTTGAAGCTTCATTTTCCTCAAAGCGGTCAGCTGCTGGTCTGGGTCATCTCCAGGTTCCAAATCGGTTTCTTGGCGTGCGGATGTCAACCCGAAATTTCACCTCAGAGCAAGCCAGCTTGCTTAAATCAAGCATGAACACGTCTGAGAGAGGGACATCCTCGTGTAAGAACCTAAAGGTGAGTCGATTGGCTGGTGAGATTTGGGCTTCAGCAGTGAGAATCAAACTTAGGAATGAGGGATACAGTAATGAGGATAAGGGTCAAACAAACCTGCAGAAAGCCAGAACGCGCTGAATAGTGGTCTAGTAGTCGGAACATTGATACATCTATGCACTACGACGGAGAGAACCCGCAATCCAAATAGCTTACCACTACAAAATCAGTTTTCATGTCGTTGCCCCCCCACCTTTTCCAGGAGAGGCGTTGCGTGTACCGCATGGCCAGTGCGGAGAACCCGGTAAGACGAGGGGGGGCGCATCGCATGAATGCTGCGCAGCGGTTCTCGCCTGGTTTGGAAGCTTTCTATTATGTATTTATAGTGTGTTCTTTTTCCGACAGGATATACCAGTAAGACAGTAGGCGTTAATTGACCTATACTGTATACCTATAGTATCCTATAGTAATGCACTAGGCGTCCGAAACCATCCGGGCCGGAGCGCCTTGTTACGCCTTGCTACTTTGGGGAGCTCAGCTCATTCTAGGCCGCGCTTTTCAATGAGTTGGCCGCTGGCCCTCCGAATGAGTTGTCCAATGCCTCAAACTCACAATCTGTTCAGTTGGATGGTGCCACAAGTAGAGGGCTTGAGGCCCCCGGATCCATCGGTCGTGGGTGTTCGGTGTGTCCACGGCTTGAGGCCAGACCGGGAAGAAGGTGGTCTGCCGCGTGTCGCCCGGTGGACTGCAGGCGCCCGGTGGAAGGAAGAGAAGTGGTCTGAGCTCAACTTGCTGATGAGAACCTTATTGCAGAAGCTCATTGGATAATGACATAATAATGAGGGTTCCCAAACACCTCCAAAGCTTTTTTCGAGGCAGATATTTCTCTGGTGTACTGTTGGTGGTCCTTTCTGAGGGTCTTGAAGTGAAAAAGGGGTCCAAACTGCCTCTTTGGTCTGCTGTTTTGGAATAACCCCGGCCATCCCACGCTGCGCGGGCACCACATACGGGGTTCCACCCAAAGAGTGGGTCCAGAGGCGAAGCAGTACCTCTCGCCTGGCTGAGCTCGGCTTGATTCGTTGGAGAGGTGCGTGTGGGCGGTGGCTGGATGGCGGCCTTGCCCTTCTTGGAGCGCTATGGGCCACTGCACATGGGCGCTCGAAGTGGAGAGGATCCACATTTCAACTGCCGGGAATCCCGCGAACGAGTTCGTGGGTTGCCGGATCTGTGTGCTGGGGCGGCTGGGGTGGTGGATGTCACCTGGATGGTGGGGTGGCACTGATAGGCACCCACTTTGGATGTGTTTATATAGATTATAGATGGTTTAGCCATGGAACATGGTCCAAATGATCAAGGTCTCGTTTCTGGATGAATCTGCAACGTTGTTGATCGACATACAGATGGAAAAAGGACCCACACCTCATCTACAGTCCAAAAAGTTTAAGGACGGACCACCCCTTAGAAGCCTTACTTACTGAACTTCCACCCAAAACTTCCCCTCCAACCTCCAAACTTCCCCTCCTTCCCACTTCCTACAAACCTGCCGCCTGCCCGCCCCCCTCCTCCACGCCCGGAGGGTCCGAGCCGAGCCGAGCCGAGCTCGTCCGGGTCCCGGTCGGGTTGGACGAGGCACGTCGGTGGATCTGCCACCCTCCATGGAGCGGCTCTTGGTGCCCACGAAGAGCTGGGCCCAGCGGATTGGCATCCGCAAGATGCCCGGGCACCGAACGCACCGGATGGCCTACGGTGGTTAGGGGAGATGAAGGAGTCAGGCGGATGGTTGGGAAGAGTGAGGTGGGGAATTGATGGGAACAAAGACCATGAGTCAAAGACGATGGGCTGTAAAAGCATCAAAAGCATTCAAAAGCAAAGGCAAAGAATACATGAACTATACAACCTAGATTCTCTTCACCCCAAACATCCCCAAACCATTTTCCCCTCGGGGCCTGGCAGTTCTTTGGGGGGCCCTTGGGTTCCTTTTTGAGGAAGCGGCGGATCGGTTGCCGTCGTCCACCGATCGGAGCCGCAAAGATCATCCAAACAGGTCCCGAAGGCCTCAGTGGACTGGGTGGGGCGAAGCGCCGCAGCCAGCCTTATGTTTTTGTTTTTTGTCGCGTGTGAAGACCATGGAAGACCCGGATGTTTTTGGATTCTGGAGCACCCTGCTGGAGGATCTATCTATATACTGTATCTATCTATATATACTGAAGTTGGAAGCTCAATGCGATTTGACTGGAAGATGCTCCTAGGCCCGACCTACGTGAGCAGCGACGCTTGCAGGCGGACAGAGCCGCCCGCCTCGACATGGAAGCATCAGGTTACAGTGGCACAAACACAAAGATGTCCTTTAGATGGCGGTCCACATCAACCACCGATCTTGGGGATTGAAAACACTGTATCAGTTTTTAGAATACTTGAGATATCTTAAGCGTGACAACACCCAAAGTTTCTGCAAGAAATGACTTCAAACGTTAGCTTCCAGGCCTTTCCCGGCCATACCGCTTCATGCCCCCCTAAGTGGAGATGTTCCAAACAATGGGAAGTCCGACGACTTCACTTTCGCACGGAGGGTCGACCGGTGGACCCAGTGGAAAAAGATGTCACCCACAGTGACGCCCTTGATCTTGTTGGCAGGATCCACGGCCAGAGGCCGGGCAGGAGGGTGGGGAGGGCATTATGACATGGAAATAGCCGGTGGGCACATGTTTGGGGATGTTGGGACTCCTTCTTGAATCGAACGTTGGGTCATGTTGGGTCAAGATGCCCCTCCTCTACGATGCGGAAGAAGGTTCGTTTCCGAGCGGTGGCGTCTCTAACCTTTTTGGTTTGTTCGACCAAAAACACGAACATGTTTCCTGGTTTGGCGAGCACCTTAGTCTTTTGGGCAGGCTGATGTTGGCTGAAGACTGTCATTGGGTGAAGTTGCGCATGCTAGAACAGCGATTCCACAGCAGATGGGCGCAGTGTTGATTGTGCCATCCCCAAGTTGGTGAAGAAATCCATGATTTGGCACAGACACTCCAACCTGTCCCGCTTGTTCACCTCATACCAGTGGCGATCAAAGGAACAGCAACATCAACTCCAATCTGTTGAGGTCTCATTGGTGAGGTCTCAAGGCGGTGGAGTGAACACAGTTCGGAGTCCCGGTATGTCCCGGTCGATGGGAGAGACATCTTCGGATCCGAGGTGATCCGAGTCCACGGAACCAGTCGACCTGGACTGGTTCAGGGGACCGGACCGCCACGGTCACCGTCAGGCACGGCAGAGCTGGTCTGGGCGCGGCGCGAGCACCGCTGTTTGGGGACCTGGAGTGCCGCCCCTATGGTGTCGGAGGCGGTGTTCCATGGTCCGTTGATCGGCTGCGTGAACAGGTCCTACTCTTCAGCAGACATACATACCCCCCCCCAAAAAGAGAATTGACGGTCCATGTTAACCAGACATGCTTTTGAAGGCGCTGTTCCATGTAAGCAGAAAAACAAGGCCCCCAGAGGGCTAACGTAGCACTTAGTGCCTATCCAGGATTCCATGTTAGTGGGTTTTGTGCCTGGCAGGTTCCATGTTAATGTAGTTTCAGAGCCCGGGAGGGCGGGCATATGTGGGTGCAGATATGCACTGTACTGAGTCTGAGTCACAATGATGGATTGTTGTTTGTCACAGATGCCAAGCAATTACTGTAGAATTGCAGATGCGATTGCGGTACCTTGAAAAGCATCCTGGTGATGAAGATGCTGAGAGCAAAATTGCAAGTTTAGATGCATGCATTAGCACAGTTCCCTTTTAAGCCACTGTACTGTAAAGCACTTGTTTCTACTGTACTGTAAACTGTACTGTACTTTATTTCGAAAAACAAACATTATACCAGCGTAGACCCCAAACAGAGCAATGTTCAAAAACGAGATCTCCGAACAATATGGCCAGCAGTATTTCCTAGAGGAAGAAAACTGTAGTCCACCATGTAGACGCACATACAAGATTCAAAGGGAAAGCATTAAAATTCTGTTTTTCATTGACTTTGCAATGGGACGTCGTACAAGGGCTAAAACATGAAATTTATGGATCCAGGTTGTGACTCAGAGCATCCAGAGCTTACTGGGAGACAAGTGGGAGACAAGTGT